TGTTCAGTATGACTTGAAATGTGTTCAAAGTGGCTCAAAACTTGTCCTAAGCAAGTTAAAAATGATCCAAAATGACAAAAGCTTGTCCAAATATAACCAGAGTGCTGCCAAGCAAGACTAGTGGGCTAGTGAAGTATGTTGAGCCTCACGTCAGAGTTTTCTGCGTTTTTAAGGAGTCTCTCTTTAGCCTGCTGGATCTCCACGGTAACTGGAGGTAACCTTGTGGTAAAAACTCAATCATTTGCTTTGACTTCACTTTGATTTGGCCAAAAATGAAAGCGACGTCCAGCGTTATGGGACAGCGTCGGGCCTAAACGTACTTCAGTCAGGTTTAAAGTTCAACAGCTTTAATGTGCGTCAGCACTTTTTTATCATCATAAACTTTTTATGCACCTGTTATCTCTGATGGGGTTTTATTCCAGCTCACTTGTTTCACTTTTACATCAACGTGAACGCCTGACTTAGAAGTAATCTGATTTAAGGTGATATAATTCAGAATCTTTTGGCACTTGAGTGATTTTTGCATCGCTTGTCTTTTAGTTTGACCCCTGAGGCGCCCACTCACACGGCGTATTCCACGGTGAAGTGCGTGTGCTCCGGTGCGCCGCCTGCTGGGAACCAGTGCAGCACATTCCTGAGATTCACGGAGGAGAAGCTCACGTTGACGGGACTCGGAGGAGAGGAGGAGACTGAGGAGAAGCACAACGAAACGTTCAGGTTGAGAAACAAGTCAACTGGTTTCAGTACTTGCACGTATTCCCCCTGTTCTGGTTCAGAGCGACACCTTTCACTTCCTCTTGTGTTTACAGCTCCGGTACCTTACATGGAACAAGCTGTAACTGACTAAACTCTGTCCCTCTGCACACACTCACAAACTTGTACTTTTGGCTTCTGGTAATAAATAATCCAACCAAATCATGTGAAGAGGAGTCATGAGGTTCTCTGAAATGGAAAGAAGACCCAAGCAGAGAACATGAAACTGTCTGTGTTGATCAGAGAATGACTGAAGCTACTGAACGTGACCTTGAACTCTAAACTTCAGCTTTAGTTTCATAATTTGCAGAGATCGACACATTGGAGCTGCAAAAAAACTTTATTTTAATTGTCAGAAAATGGTGAAAAATGTCTTGTTTTGCCCACAACCCCGTGCTTTTTAGTTTACTGTCGCAGAGGAGGAAAGAAAACAGCAAATATTCACATTTATGAAGCTGCAAACACACATTTTTGAGTGTTTTCCATTTAAAAAAATTACTCAAACTAATTAACCAATCATGATTAATTCAGCAGTTGACGAATAATCGATTAATCTTGCAGCTCTAACACGTTTAAACCCAAATGACACACAAACTTTGCTAGCTTACATTACCTAATATGAATATTGTAAAAGTCAAAGTCACTTTGTCGTCAGTTCTGCTACAGGTGTGCACATACAGAGAACTGAAACTGCATTTCTCTCAAACCCACATTTAAAAATATATATATATACTAAAAAAATATGTAAGCTAAACATATAATAGGTTAAAAAAATATACAATCTAAACGTGTAATAGGCTAAAAATCTAAATAAACACAAAAGAGAACAGAAGAATCTGCATAAGGCACATATATTTTACTATTATGTTCTGCAAACACCTATTTCCAGCCTGCACCAGATTATTCAGATGTTTTTTAAATATATTTGCATAAAGGTTAAAGTGCAGGTTGAAGTGATTTAATGCTGCTGGACTATGACAGTTTATTTAACCCTGTTCAGGACGTTCATGTTTCCATAAGCAGGAGGTCTGTTAGACCCCAAGAAAGAACATGTGCAAAATAATTGATATTTATTACAGACTTTTATACGATGTAAGTACATTGTCTGACAAATATCCCTCCTTTTATATAAAAAAAAAAAAAATCTTCCAAAGATAAAAAACAATAGCTGTCACCCAAACCAAAAGTCCTGAACAGGGTTAATTTGGATTTTTTTTAAAAAGTGGTTTTAATGCAAAAAATGTCAAATCTGATCTGAATCTTTTCGTTATTTCACAATAAACAGGCCGAGCGCCGCGTTAGAAGTGAGACAGACGCTTAAATCAGCTGCTAGTTCTGATCAATTCACCAGAAATACAGTTAATAAGAATATAAAACAGAATCATCGTCGGTACCTGTACAGCGCAGGACCCACAGGTGAAGTAAAATCACCACCGTCCACATCTCATCTTCGGCTCCTCCACCTGCCGCCGGCAGCTCACCTGTCCGCAGCGTCGCGCGGCTCACCTGCGATCACAAACCTCAGAGCCGCATGTCCGCAGAGACGAAGAACAGGTGAAGCAGAGGAGCTGGACATCGGTGAACACCTGACAGCTTCTGCTTTTCTTTCTTTTTTTTTTTTTTTTTACCGCTAAAGCCACAGAAGGAAACGCGGCGCTGCTGCAGGTTCCGTGTTTGAGGAAGGAATGCGACCTCACCTGTTTGTTCGCGTTACACCTGCTCAGGTACAGGCGCGTGCTCCCCAGTGTCCTTTGCAGTAATAAAAAAACACTGCGGTGTGTGTGGGTGTGTGTGGGTGTGTGTGTGTGTGATGCCAGCTGTGGTTACAACAATAAAAGTATGTTACATAATTAAAAGAGTTCTCTGTGTGCGTGTTAGTTCTGTACGTTTTTAACTATATGTGTTGGATAAATATTTAGATAAAACGTTTAAAAAGACAATAAAACAAGTGCAACAATAAACTATTACTATATATGTATGCCTGTATTATTTATGTATATATTTGCATTATATATGTATTTATTTTATTATGTAAAGTAACTACAGCTGTCAAATTATAGTTGTTATTACAGGTAGGATTATATTTATTAATATCTAATTAGAGTGAATTTTAAAAATCTAGTAAATTTATATATATATTATTTTGTATAGTCATACATTTATCTATTATTTTTTATAGTTGCCCCTTTTAAAATATTTTATTGTCTTTTTAAATATTTCACTTCCTTGCTTAAATTTTGCATTTTGTGTTTTAATTTTGTATTTTAAAAAACGTTTTTGTTTTTTAATGTCTTATCGTCTTTTTAAATGCTATTTTTTTTAACGTGTTTTTGTTTTTTGTAAAGCAGCTTGTAACTTCCACTATAGGTGCTTTAGAAATGTATTTTGTTATTCTTGCTATTATATCTGAAGTACAACTGGACTTCTTTTTGGTTTAAAAATAAATAAATAAATCTGAGCTGTAGTGGAGTTTAACCATAAGGCACATTGCATAATTTCATTTGATCAGTGAAACTCCAGCACTGTACTGGACGTCCTGCACATGTGTGGTTGTGAAATGACACCTGGAGGAACATGAGCGTTTCCTTGTTATGTTTCTTCTCAGGTCACGTTCAGTTTACGTGCAGTTTGTCTGAAACAATGGAGGCCGTGTAATACGTGTAATTGCAGCAAAGTTCAATGGAATTCCTGAAATGCAATAGTTCGTAGACAGTAATAACAGATCCACAGTAAGAATCCTAACATCCTCCACTGTGACATCTGCTGGACGCTATAATTTGACATACAGACCAGAATTCTAACCTAAACATACATTTTTAAAAGACACCAGCTATGAACAGTGTGATACATATTTGCTAAATCCATCTATTGTAATTTTAATACATTATAATCAGTCAATTATCGTTGCCTAAAGCCAAAAACCCTGACCACAAACGCTGCGGAACCTGTCAGCCGGTGTCCCTGTTGTCACTCCGGATTGTTTTTACTGCTGCTCGTCTTCCGGCGCTTGAGTTCCGGTTTGTGTTAGCGGTTAGCCGTGTTGTGTGCGCTCTTCCCCGCGGGTGTCTGTGAGATGTTCGGCTAAAAAACTGAGCCCGTTTGTTGCAAAGATGGCGCTGTCGATGGAGACGCAGCTGCAGAGCATCTTTGAAGATGTTGTGGTAACTTTTGTCTTTATTTTTAGATTCACGGTGCAGCTAGCGTTAGTTAGCATCTCAGACACCGCTAGCCCTTTCTGCTCACACTCATTCAGTCAGCCTGCTGTTCTCTGCAAATTAGGAATTCGGTGCTTTTTATTTGTCTGAATGCACCTAAGCAGCTAGCTTTGAGAATTAACCCTTTAAAGTTGTGCAGTTTCCGGTCCTAAATCACGTTAGCATCCTCAGTGTGTTGAAAGTCGCTGCATTAACATGAGATCTAACTTTATTCATCACCAAGAAAATTACTGCCAAATATTCCTCAGATGAAAAGTGTAATAACATGAGAGTAAACGTAGAGTATATGTGAACAAGTTAAAATTAGAAAATTAGATGAATATTGTACTGAAGTAATACAGTTTTGTCATTTTATGCCATCTCACTAAGAAATCAAAAACAGTTCTTCCTGAAAAAAGAAAATAATATTAAAATGTACTTAAAAAGTGGATTTTCCAGCTCCGAGGCTAATTGTAGGAAGACCTGTGGCAGTTAATTTTTGATTTAATGACAAATTACATTTTAATATAAAAAAACTAAGTTGTTTCTGCCCACAAAAAAAATTTAATTGGAACTGAGTGAATATTAGTGGAGATATTAATTTTGGGAAATCAGAAGTTTTCTGTTTTGATGAGGAATTAGAGATTTTTATTATTTTCATTTCTTTAAAAAAAAAAAAAAACTAAAAAAAAAAAGACATGATTTTTCTTGAGGTTTTTGGGATATTTGTTTTGTTGTTGTTGTTGTTGTTGTTGTTGTTTTTTTTTAAAGAATATCCAGCCAAATCCTGGGATAAATAAAAATCAAAAAGTAAAGCTGTAGGATTCTGCAAGGCTCCATGGTTTAGGGAGGAGTTTTGCATATTTTTTTCCCCTCAAATAATTCATGACATGAACCGGGAAAAGTTCTGAAATCTGGGTGGATCGACATGAAATGACCAAATAATATTTTTATTACTGAGATTTATAAACAACTGAGAAAAAAAAACAGAAATTGTACTTTGAATGTGAAACCAATGACGAGCCTTTAGAGACGGAGTCACAAGTTCTCTGTGTTTAGTTTTGGTGAGAAGATGTGCTGCTGCATGTTGGACCACCTGAAGTTTGTTTACAGACCATAGTAACACCTGCTAGAAGTGAAGACATGAAGAAGTCTTTCAGTCGCTGTTCAGGTTGCAAATGCAGGTTCATCTACAAAACGTTACGTAAACATATTGAACATCAGTTTTCAGGAATGCAGTTTGGTCCTTGGTGGTTTTAAGCATTTACTTTATGGTAATTTACCCGTTTCATGTCAATAAGTCTAATGATTGTTGTTGCTTTTTCCAGCTTTTGTGAGACATTGACAAACTGTTGTTCAGTAAAATGATGTTTGGGATCCATGCCCTCCTATAGTACACAGCCGTTTAGCACCAAAACATTGCAAATAAAGTGTATTTTTGCAAGTTAGTCAGCGTGCAGGAGTCTGTTTGAAACTTTTGGCTGTGCAGGAGGCACAATGTGTTCATTTTTCTTGTCAGCTGACCGCAAAAAAAGGAGCAACGAGGACGAGATAGAGGGCGTATGATTCCTCCACAAAGTCAGAGTAGAGTTCACTGACTCACAAAGTGGCATTAATTCACACTGATGAAGTGTCCCAGAGCAAGCATCGTTATTTTTTTTGAGTGATCGTGATCAGAAAAAGGGGACAGAACTACAGAAAAGATTCTGATTTTATTTTTCTTCTCCCTTTCTTAGAAAACGGAGATGATAGAGGAGGCGTTTGCTGGGTAAGATTTCTCTAAATTCATGTTTGTACTGTTGTGAATGTGTAAAAAATGTGAATTATGAACCGAGTTGTGTTTTCAGGATGTTCATGGACACTCCGGAGGACGAGAGGACCAAACTGATCAGCTGCCTCGGAGCCTTCGGACAGTACTGGGGGACTTTACCTCAGGTTTGTAGTCACACCAGTGCTTCCTGCTCGCGTGCAAACTGATCGATAATTGGCTGTAAATACTGAACCGCCTCGACGTCTCTCTGCAGGAGTCTCATGAACAGTGTGTGCAGTGGGTGGTTCGCTTCATTCACAGCCAGCACAGCCCCAAAAGGATCTCCTTCCTGTACGACTGCCTGGCCATGGCTGTGGAGACCAGTCTGCTGCCGCCCAGGTAGGACCAAGCAAACCACATTTCTATATTTTGAGATATCAGTGCAGCAGCTGTGGTGATTATTGATCCTCGTCTGTCTCCAGGATGGTGTGTGTGGCTCTGATCAGCTCCGACAGCCTGGAGTGGGAGAGGACTCAGCTGTGGGCGTTGACGTTCAGACTGATCCGCAAGATCATCGGAGGCGTCGACTACAAGGTTCGCCGACACGCAAGCGCTGAAACCGTAATTCCCTGCAAAATGAGAGGCGTTACAGGGAAACTTTATCCAGCCATCTTTGCATTCTTGCTTTTTTGGCATCAGTGCGAGGGCTTTAGTGAACCAAATATGGTCTTAATTAGAAAAACAACTAGTTTCTGCAGCTTATTAAATCATTCAAAGCTGGTTGTTTTCTGCTTTCTGCTCTTTTTGTGTGTCTTTGTCACTGTTTTGTGGCATTTGTTTGTTAATTTTGCACTTCTTTTAGTCAGTTTCAACCTCTTTCTGGTTATTTGTGTGTCTTTGTGCTCTTTTTGCATGTTTTATTTATTGGTTTGAGTCTCCTTGTGGTTGTTTTGTGTCATTTTTTTCAGCTGTTTTGCATCTAGTGTGTGTTTTTATGTGCGCTTGCATTGAATTTTTATCTGTTTTTGTCTCTTTCTGGTCGTTTTTTGTGTGATTGTTGCTGTTTTGCGGCTCTTGGTATTTGTTTTGAGTAATTTTGTGTCTCTTTTTGCTGCTGTTTTGTCCGTGTTTGTTTTAGTTTTCTCTCTTTTTGTTCAGTATCAGCCTCTTTCTGGTCATTTTGTTATTATTCTGTCATTATTTGTGGTTAATTTGCATCTTCATTTCATTGGTTTGGGTCTCTTTGTGGTTGTTTTATTTCCAGCCATTTTACATCTGAGCTCGTGTGTCTCAGAGGTGATTTTCATGTGTTTGTTTTCATTTTCTTCATTTACACCTAATATTAGGACTTTTTAAGTATTACTAGCGTAACCTCACACTACCAATAACTCAGACTTCCTCATTGCTCTTTTCAGGCGACACAAGCTACTGTGAATGTGTCGTTCTCTCCATTTAAAGCTTTATAAAGACACTGTTGTCAACACTGAAGCCTTAAACGTTTTAAATCGTCTTTCAGGGTGTTCGTGACCTTCTGAAAACCG